GGGGGGGGTGGGCGTTAGAATATGTTTCTCTCCTATGTATGCTATATCAATTTCCGTTTTCACTTTCCCTAAGAGACCTGGAAATGTTAATTCACTATCTTGTGGGGTTAATTGTATAGGTGTAACCACGGAGCACAAGTGTTACGGCTTTCCTCGCATGTTTTCTGTCTCAGTTATATACTCTTTCTCTGTGACGGTTTATGCTTTTGATAATTTATTTATATCAAATTGCAGGCTTTATGATAGTTATCGTTAGCCCTATAGTAGACTTCGGGCTTAACGGAGGGGAGGAACATCAAAGTGGGGGAAATTCGAGAGGAGGAACAGAAGAGTGATTTACAGCTGTAAAAGAGACAGACACAAAGATCGAGAAAAAGATAAGGTAAGGTGAGTACTGTGAAGTGGTCGAATATGGCATACAATCGGGTCATGGTAGTTTGAAGTGAGAAGTCAACTGCCGTTTTACAGGGTGCACCACGTGTAAGTAAGTCTATCACGCACTCTATGTTTTTGAATATATGATCGTATATACTTTTTTATGCAAAATTCTAATTTGCGTGCTTCAGTTAACTACATATTCGCGATCTTTAAGTTATTGGTAAGCAAAAACGGTGTTTAACCCTGTACTTTCTAAGTACATAGAATACTTATAAACATTTCCGTGAGTAAGGTATAGTTATAGTTTTAAGAAATCACGTTCCATACCCCTATACATTCACCCTTCAAAACGCTGGTACACAAACACTTCACGATTCACATTATAAAATTGTCTGTTAGTAACACAGATATAAATTATTTGTGCATTTAAAATGGGGATCGAAGGTATTTGATACTTCAAATGCTATTAGGTAAGTACGTACTTATTTAGACTAGTCATCTGATGATGATTGAAGTTAAAAACTGCTATCCTACCCTACACTAAAGTCAGCTCTTTGTTCCCAAATTAAGTAAATAACCCTCTGGTCAAACGAATACACTCCTCTTCAGTACTTTTTTTGTACCGTTGGTGTCATAAATCAGACAGGCTTTGTCAAAGATGATTATACCCTGATGTTAGAACGAATAACTTTGTTTCCACAGCTTTTTCATCCTTCGTCCTGGACCTATTGATCCTTGGCCTAAGTTGTTCTATATTATTAGAGGTGCTCTCTACGAATAAAAATTGTTTTGTGCTCTTCTCGTATATCTTCTATTGAAAATATTCATGCACCTTAGGTCAATATTTTGAAAAGACTCTCCGTTACGTACTGCTTATATAGCCTCCTCAAATACTACAGTTTAATTATTCTCTCTGCCTATGAAAATCACTAAGCTCTTTCTCTAGTATCAAGCTATATTTGATGTTTCCCATTGTTGCTATAGTGATAAGCATTTTACAGCACAGGAATTATATTGAGTAATCGATATAGAGCTAAAAGATGCCTTGTTAATAGTTCTTCTGGTTTTAAAATAGATTATTATGATTAAAGTTTCCTCAAATATTGGCGGTATTTTTGCTACTATGTGATAAATCCCATTTTTTTGTAATTAAAGATGTTAGTAGCTTATTGATTTGCCTACTATTTATTGTTTTAGCTATGTATGTTAAGCTTTTTTTCTCTTTAAACGCGTGCCCTATGAGGCTAAAATTAACGGTTGATTAATAAGGTCAATACGGAGACAATTGGGAAAATCAGAATTATGATATTCAATAGAATTTTAGGACCCTAGCTGCTTTAGGAATTCCTTGCGGAGGTAGAAATTAATCTTCTAGTTTTCCACTGTTAAGTTGTTAGTCTCATTATCGAGTTGTCACTTCAACTTAACCAAAGACAATTCCTATCTCATATCCACTGAGCTAAGTCAAATCTATCCTCTGTTTGTAATTTGTGAAATAATGTTCCAAAATAATCTTTCCTTTTTATTTTCTCAGTCATAGATCTCCGGTTGAATTTTCCCATAAGTTTTGAAATAGGCCTTGCTTGAAATATCATGAAGTAAATAAGCATTTAGTGAGATTTCAGATAGAACAACTGCCGGATTCCTAGATAAGGAGGATGGAAGGGGAGTCTGCAGTTGAATTAACCAAATTGATTAACAGTCGTCTTCAAAGAGGGAGATCGTAGACTGTTGAGGGTCAAAGGGGTCATAGGGGGGGGGGGGGAATCGGATTTATAGTACTTTAGAAATTTCATCAGCAGCAGTAAATTTTTAGCGTTTTAAATTAAGGCACTGCGACCATTTGAGTTGCACATCAGTTTGATTTAAGTAACTCCTAATCTGCATTTAAGGATTTTAATGGCAACGTGCAGAAAGTTTGAACAGCTTGGTTTATGAATTTTATTGTCTGAGGACAGATAATATGGCATTGGTGACGGATTGATAATCCAAAATAAGATTTATTTATTTTAAATGGCAGGCGTTTCGATAGTTATCATTGGCCCTTTAGCTGACTTCGGGCTTCACAGAGGAGAGTGATTTACAGATGTAAAAGAGACAGACATACAGACACAATGGCAGAGAAAAGGTAAGATGAGTACTGTGAAGTGTTAAAACATAACAAATAGTGGGGTCATGGTAGTTTGAATTGAGAAGNATCGGATTTATAGTACTTTAGAAATTTCATCAGCAGCAGTAAATTTTTAGCGTTTTAAATTAAGGCACTGCGACCATTTGAGTTGCACATCAGTTTGATTTAAGTAACTCCTAATCTGCATTTAAGGATTTTAATGGCAACGTGCAGAAAGTTTGAACAGCTTGGTTTATGAATTTTATTGTCTGAGGACAGATAATATGGCATTGGTGACGGATTGATAATCCAAAATAAGATTTATTTATTTTAAATGGCAGGCGTTTCGATAGTTATCATTGGCCCTTTAGCTGACTTCGGGCTTCACAGAGGAGAGTGATTTACAGATGTAAAAGAGACAGACATACAGACACAATGGCAGAGAAAAGGTAAGATGAGTACTGTGAAGTGTTAAAACATAACAAATAGTGGGGTCATGGTAGTTTGAATTGAGAAGTCAACTGCCGATTTATAGACTTTTTTGCCGTATGAGTATACGTTGCCCAGGGTGCACCACTTGGAGGTAAGTCTATCGCACACTCCTTGGTAGAACAGTTCTTTAGATCATTTACTTACACAACACTGTTTAATTCATGGCTTCGTTAACTATGTTCCCCAACGTTTCTGACTACGTTATAGAAAGTTTTTTTAATAACTTGGTTAGGCTTATTACTTGAAAGTGTGTTCAACAGAGCTTGACTCGTTTGAAGGTCTAATATCTTTGGCCAATTTTTCAGCAATAATCCAGGTTTTTACTTTTTATTGTTGCTTCCCCCAGTAAATTGATGACAACCGTGGCGTCCCTATTCGCCTCCACTTATGTATTTGAATGGCCAAACTACATGACTGGTACAAAACTCCTCTATCCCCCAGCTTTCGATGCGCGAGTTGTGCTCTATCCGACCACCAAGAATCTTCGAGATTATCTCGCTTGGCGTCAAGTTGACTGTAAGTGTCTAATGGTAAAAGTTATTTGCGGGATTTTTGAAAATTGCACTTAACATTAACACTCCTGTCAAATTAGGTTTAGAGGTCTCAATTCCAAAGCTGATGGCCTTCCTAAAGGCTAACACTATAAAAGGGATAAGATTGAGGCCTAGGAGTCGGTCAGCGTACATATTTGAAAAGATGAGGGATACACTTAGTGCGGTTGTCTGTTTTGACAATTTTCTTCGTGTAATGGACATCCATTAAAAATTATCAGTTGAAATTATGTCGACTCAGATTTGGGTCCTCAATAGATTACTGACTTGACACGGGGGTTTGTCGTATTTAAGACCTTTCCATTTTCGCAATTACACTGCACCACCTCCACTATGTCGGATATTCCTGCAGCGGTGTTGCGCAAGTTGCATTTAAGTGGGTAAACGCTTCATGTATTTTTCCTGACTTGAATCGGCTTGAGTAAGTCAAATTTACTACAAGTACATTTAATAAAAATGAATCTTAACGGGCTTTCATTTTTATTCATTTAAATATCCAATTGTATTTAGAATTATGGACATTTTATGTTCTGCTTTTATCTAATTGGTGAACTTAACCCATTGTGACCCTACCGGACCATATATTGGGTCTCATCCAACTGTCAATTTTCATTAAATCTCTTCAGTTTTTTAAGCTATCTCATTATTCGGGGGAGGGGGATTAGAAAACCAGCTGACATCAATTGTTTCTGGTTAAATGGAAGATCGAAATTAAATCATGGACAATGAGTCATGGAGGCAGCATGAGGTGGGAATCAATATGTAGTCAAAGTGTTATTTGTGGTAATTTCATGCCACTAATGAGAATTCCACGTGCACAATAAATAACTAGACAATTGAACTGGTTTAAAATATTCTCAAATATTTATTTATTTATATCAAATAGCAGACGTTTGGATAGTTATAATTAGCCCTTTAGTTGACTTCAGGCTTCACAGAGAGGAAGGAACATCGAAGGAAAAAAGTCTAGAGGGGGGGGGGGGAACAGAAGAGTGTTACAAAGATGCAAAAGAGACAAACACAAAGGTAGAACAAATGTGAGCTGAGTTCTGTGGAAGTAATCGAATACGACATACAGTGGGGTGATGGTAGTTTGAAGTCAGAAGTCAACTGCCGGTTAATAAACTTTTTTTGCCGCATGAGTATACGTTGCCCAGGGTGCACCACGTGGAGGTAAGTCTATCACACACCCCATATTCTCAAATATAAGGGTATGCCAAAGAGCCAAATGCCAGAAAAGTATTTTGAGCCTTATCCTTTTCGTAGTCTAGCCATCAAATAAAGTGCTTTACATTGTACTATGGGAGTTCTCACCGACCCTTTTCTTCTTCTCTGCTTATTCTACAGGTCATATAAATAATCTCTACAATACGTGTTTCTGGAATCTCGTTCAACGCGGCGGACTCACTCCAGCTGACGCTGAGAAACGCTTATGTGTGAGTTGTCTGCTCTTCTTTCCACCTT